AAACATTAAGAATATTTTATTTTTCATGCTGTGATTAATATGCTCATTAGTCTGTTTTATCATCTAAAGCCTCTGTTGTTACGGTTCAGATTTTTTTGTTTACATTACTCTATAACTTGTTCTTTTGATGCCAAAATACAGAACAAACGAGTGTGAACTTTCCCACACTCTCAACTTACTCCCTCTTCTTATTGTATAACTGTCTTATCTGTTGTTACGGTTCAGATTTTTTTGTTTACATTACTCTATAACTTGTTCTTTTGATGCCAAAATACAGAACAAACGAGTGTGAACTTTCCCACACTCTCAACTTACTCCCTCTTCTTATTGTATAACTGTCTTATCTGTTGTTACGATTTATGTTATTTCGTACCTTTCGTTAAATATTTGATTTTCTTCTGATTAACCGTTTTCCTAAAAACGTTCCAAGAAATAACACGTAAACCTGAATTTCCCTAATGAAAATAAGAACATAATAAACCATTTTCATAAGCTTGCTATATTAGCTTGTTCAGTCATCATGGTATCAACGTCTTTGATATCCTACTTGACCTTGAATGCCAGGCTGGTATTTTATTATTGACAGTGATTCCTCCAGTTGCTATAATATAGACGTCAGAAAATAATAATAAACATATAGAAAATTTTAAAAATTGAACACTAAAATAAAACATACAATACATTTTAATTTACTTTTAGTTCATGTGTTTTTTTAAAGCGCAAAACTACACAATAGACTATCTGCTCGTTACTGGGATCGATCCCCAAACTTTAGCCCTATAAATCCTCAAACTTTACCATGGAGCTACTCAAAATAACATTACACGACGCTCTTTTTTCCTAAAGATTAGTTTTAGTAGCTTTGGAATGTATTTCTTTTACTTTAAAATAAATAAATTAATCAGTATGAACTTAATCAGAGGTTGTTATACGATAGGAAAGGTTATATGTGAGTTTTGAAAGACATTAGTTTGATAACTGAATACCACAGTACGCGGCCTCTTTATTTATTCACTAAAATATAGTAATTTCTAAAAAAATAAACACACACGCACTCTCTCTCTCTTTTATTTGCCCCCTAGTAGCACAGCGGTAT